GGAAAACCACACATCAGACACGTTCCCCAACGGGAATTAATTAAACCTTATAAATTAAATTACGTACCTCAATTAATAAAATATTATATTATATCCATCCCAAAATATTTAAATATTAGGAGAAATATTTTTTCTCACCGCCAGCTTCGGATAACGTTTTGGTACCTTCCTTTAACACTTTTCTAACATGCCATTCATAAAATAAAATTAATACTTATTGTGCCAACAATATTATAATTTAAGAAAAAATAATAATAAGAGCAGAGGTACTTACTATTTAGATAAGTAATGTGATGTTGCATAGAAACAGAAAAATAAAATAAAATTGTAAGATGTGTTTGTAAAGCTTATTGTAAATATAAACGTCACTCTTGGTCTTGTATATTGACAGCTCGCGAGGTCACTTTATTTCTTTTTATTTAAGGATGTATTAAATTACAATTTTAAAAGATTTTTTTTATGAAAAAATATTATAATACTTAATTTAAAAAATTTAATAAAAAATGTCTAGTGATGTTTAATTAAAATAATCATTATTTTTTTATGAATATATCCAAATTTAATAATATTTAATTAAGATAATCATGATTTTTTTAGATATTTATTTAAAAAAGTTTATTAATATTAAAAATATAGAGATTTTAATTAATTCTTTTAAATAATAGATTTTTTTAGACTTTTTTAGTAGAATTTATATATAATTCACTCATCTAATAATCTTATAAAAATATGAGATTTTGCATGACTTTATTTTTCTTTTATTTCTCTTCTTTCTTTCTTTCTTTCTTCTCTCCCTCTCACGCTCCTTAATCTTCTCTTTATGGGCTTTCTTATTTCTCTCTCTCTCTCATCCCTCTCTCTTCCTTTCATATTCTATTTCTCTTTTACCTTTTTTACTTCTCTCTCCTCTTTTATTTCCTTTATTAGCTTCTTTTCTCTCTCTTCATTTCTTCTCTATCTCATTCCTTTTCCTCCGTATTCATCTCTCTCATTTATCATCTAAAAAAATTTGTAGGTCATGGTAATAATGAAGTATTCAATTTATGTCATGCGTTCTTAAGAAATATGATCAATAGGATATTTGGAATTTTAAAATCACACTTTACAGTTCTTAAGTTAGCATCTCCATTTTTATTTAATAGACAAGTTGAACTTGTATTAACATATGTAGCACTACATATCTTCCTTTGCAAAGAATGTCGTTTTGATGAATTTTTAATTGAATCAGTGGATGAATCTTCATTTTCAGTACTACTAGTTAATAAAGACTATAATTTTGAACATATTATTTAGACTTAAGAGCATCAAAGATAACATGTCAATGCATGGAGGCCTAAAGTTTTGGTACTTTTGAGCATATTAAGGTGAACTTGGTGATTCTAGTAAATTTCTTGTTGCATGTGGTATTTCTGGTTGGAAATGAGTTGAATGCGTTGTGTATATGTAATATATGCCCTTGCATGTTGGAGATTTCTGACCTTCAGGTGGTTTTGTCCATTTTCATGAATGCACATGTGCAGAATCCACCATCACGCCAAGTATATCATCATGGTATCAAGCGTGGCTTAATCAAAGGTCATTTGTCTTACTCATGTCGAATGCTAAATTGGTGACACCAAATGTGAGGAGAGATAATTGTCTCTAACTTGGTCATACCAAGCATTAAGTTGAATGTTGTCGATGTGAGGAGAAATAATCATCTCTACCTAGATTGACGTTAGGTGTGAGTCAGACAAAGATTCTCTATTTGAAATAAGGATGAGCGTGGAGTTTGCCACGTCAGGCATTGGCGTTCAAGGGTTCTCTACCTTATCCACGTTGAGCACAAGTTGAATGACGTCGTACTGAGCTAGACAAAGAGCTTCTTGCCAAATAACACCGAGTGTAAGGCAAATGACACTAGGTGTTGACTTCCTTGTGAACATTTATTACTTTAATGATTAAGTGGTGAACATGAATAAGTTAGTTGAATCTATTATATGTTGTATGATGATTAAGTTGTGTTATATATTGGATTTTGAGGTATAATTGTTGAATCTTTATACATTGATCTAGGATAATATATATATATATATATATATATATATATATCATCAACCTTCTTTTTCATCTTCTTTTATTGAATTCTTCCTTCAACCTTCCTTATAGTCGATCTAAGGTGATTAAATTGAAGATTCAAGCTCTTGGAGTAGGAATCTCAAAGTCAGAAACAAGTAGGATCACACTCTCTTCCTCATCTCTTCTTAGTTGAACAACTATAGGTAAGGGAAGTTTGTGAATTGTGTGTTGTTTGATGAATACTTATTATTTTACTATATGTATTCATCATTGCATGATTAAATTGGTGAAAATCATGGATTGAAAATGTTATAAAGGAAGGCTCTTGAATGGAATTCTTGAGTGACTTGGGTGATTTTTGAATTTCAATGGTTGCATGTGTTGTTTTGAGTTGGTTTGGTGTTGTTTATGATGCACATATGTTGAATTTTATGTTACATGTTGGTCTTTTGCTGAGTTTCAGGTGGATTGAGCCAAAATAAGATTCTACCAAGTGCAAAAATTCTCATCGCGTTAGGCATGCCTTCATGGCACTAGGCATGACTCAAGTTAAGGGCTCTCTGCCCTGATCATGTCAATGCGGGATTAGTAGTGTCAAGCATGGTCAGCGAGGAGCTCTTTGATTTGGTCACCTTGAGCATGAAATAAGTGGCATTGGGCAAGAGAACTCAAAGAGGTCTTTGACTTGGTGCCGTTGAACTCAAGATGAGTGGTGCCAAGTGTGACTGAGACAGAGGTTCTTTACCTAGATGACACCAAGCGCTATTGTGATGTCGGACACTAGTTAGGTAGAGGCTTTCTACCTAAATTGAGGTTGGGCATGGGTTTAGCCATGCTAAACGTGATTGACTCAAAGGCTCTTTGCCTCATCCACGTTAAATGTAGGTAGATTGGCGTCCGACTTGGGCAAGCCCGAAGCATTCTACCTTAATGATGTTAGGCACAAGAAAGATGGTGTTGGGTGTGGGATATTGAAATAAAATATGATGTTTTAAGTTGTTAATAGTTGAAGAATGATGATTCTATTATATAATTAAATGTTGTATGATGGTAACTCATTATGCATTGATTTGAGATGATGTATAGTGATGATTTATGTTGTTAAGATGTAAGGTGATAGTTGATTAAGTTGCAAAGTTGTATAATATTTATAGTTGATTAAGTTGTTAAGTTATTAGCCATGTGGTGAAGATACATGTCTTAGTTGAGATACATAAAAACTAGTCGAGACTAAAGTTATTTTAAAAATTAAAATATATCATTGTGTGGATATAGTTATTTTAAAAATTAAAATATATCATTGTGTGGATATAAGTTGTGGTACTCTAAGAGCCCAAGTTGAGAATCCTTTAGTAAGTAAGTTAGTTTCTGAATAGGTAGTTATTTTAAGTTGTCTCCTTTAGGTTTTAAGTGAAATACGTATGTGGGTAAGGTTGAATCATACTTGTATAAAGTGACCAACTAAGTAAAATATAAAGTCGAGAGGTAAAATTCTTAACTGATTGTTAGAAAGATGCATAGTATTTAGAGAATAGTTGACAGACTAATCCCATGCGATGCTTAGATATGTATGCTAATGTTGTGGTGGGCTCACACTCAAATTGTTCAACCCTAACAGTAGTATTAGACTTTCCTAGTTTAAGTGTCGAAACTTGAGAAATTAATTTAAGTTGTATAACTAACATTCTGAGGCCTAATGTTGTATCTACTTAATTTGGCGATGATAGATCAAAAATAGTGATTTGGTTGCGGCGAACCACCTAAACAACTCACCTCTATTATAGGAGATCTTCATATGTTGATATGGATAATGATGTGTTGGTTGTTTAAAGTTGTTTATGTTGTGATGGAAAGTTGTGTATGTTGAAAATGTTATTCACGTTGTAAGTTGTATATGAAGATTTTCAAGTTGTACTTGTAGATGATATATTGATGTTGTATTGAGAACTAGTTGAGAGTTTTTGCTAAGTTGTTGATGTAGTTATAAGTTGAACATGTATATTAATCCCATGTTAATTATTTCACGAGTTTACCCATCCCTTTCCTCGTGATTGAAATTGCAACGATCATATTTGATTTTGAAGCAAGACAATTTAGCCAGATGACTTGGTTAGTTAGTGAGAGGTTATGTTGGTGATAACCCAATTTTGGTAATGCTACTCCGATGTAGCATGGTTGTTATATAAATGCTCAATTGACGATTAAAGTTATTTTATACAAATATGTAGTTGTGTAGATTGTATATATATGTCCAAGGTATATATATTTAACTTTATGAGGGGATTTATGTCTTTTATCTTTGTACATAATAAAATTACATAAATGACTAAAAATTATTGTATGAAAACCCTAAAATAATTGGATAGTTTATATTTTTTTTTGCTGCATAATATTATATTATATTAAATATAATGATTTACCGAGTCGTTACACAAACCAAAGAACCTCGTAATTCCATTGTTGAGGAGTGATGACTATAATTGGTGGTATCGAAGGTACTTAATTTATTACTACTTTATGAATCTGGTTTGTTTTTGCTCCTATTTTGGTTTAGGTATAAAGTGTTTTGGGCTGGACTTTATTGGGATCAAGGCTACAAAAGATACATACAACATTATTTTACAAAAGGAATCCAATAACATAATTGGACCGTCCTGAGTTTTTCTCTATCATTAACTAGTCTTTTAATCTTTCTCTGTTTTTTTCAGTCACATTCTTGACTCTTTTCCTGTCTTCAGTATGATAATGTTACACAAACTTTTCCATATACTCCTATATATATGGAAGGTAGTCAAATATTTGATGAATTAGCTCGAACTATGCAAGGAATAAGAAAATATTCGCATAAAATGTAGGACATGATACGCATTTACGTTTCTTCTAAGGTGATGAAGTAATTGATGTTTTATTTGTATATTAGCAAATGATATGCAAGTTGCAACTCACATCATATATAATTACTTCACATAAAAGGACAAATGATTGGGTTTATATAGCTCAAATCCATCACTAGTGATACATATCACAATTTTGTTTTCCTTCTAAACCTACTAGTACCATTACAAGTGACAGTTTTTCTTTCATCATAGAAGGTAAAGTTTCTCCTTTAAATATTTAATACAACTAATCCAATATTTCACATATTGCTTCAGTTGATCCGTGAAGAGATATATATATTACACTTAATTTAACAAAAGAATGCAACATTTTTAACAAAAGACAAAAAGAACAATTGTATCCAAGAGACTTGATACAGTAATTAGAGACCGAATCCAGCCAACCTGCCCAAGATTCCTTGTCTATATGGCAAGAAGGTTTTCTTCTTCATATCCTCGGACTCCGCTTTCTTCATGGCGTAGTGCAATTCATGCGCCGAAACAGGTCCCTTCTTTCTCGAATCCGAGGATCTAAAACTTGATGACCCTTTCACTTCTTCACCATTATTCTTCTTACTATAGTACTTCTTCAACGGATCCTTGCACGACCCTCTCCCTTCGGAGGCACTACGGAACAACAAAAAGTCCTTCAACCACCACCTTTTCGACCCCTTCGAACAAGAATTCGGTTCCTCTTTAATGCTTCTTCTTGACTGTTGTTGTTGCTGTTGTTGTTGTTCTGCTTCCCACAAGTAGTGGGAAGTTGATTTTCTATAAGGCGAGTGTGATCGTGCTGCCCTTCTACCCGAGTTTGACGACGACAAGGTTGTCGTCGTCATAACTTTCTCTCTTTCTCTCTCTCTTCCTCGTTTAGGCTCCTTGGACCGAGACTCGTCCAAGAGCTTAATCTTGCCGCCGGCAAAGAGTTCCTCTGCCGGACGGGAGGACTTGTCGTCATTGACGTAGAAGGCAAAACTGTAGTCGCTATTTTCGTCGCCATCATCAACTTTGTTGGCTGCCTCAAATGATGAAGAGGGATCGGTTGAAGAGAAATATTCAAATTGATTGTATAACTCAGATAACCTAGATGGACTCGCGGGCGCACTTAGGTAATAATCACCAAATCGTTTAGGTGAAGAAGGAGCACTTTGGTATATCGATCCCACGTTGCCACCAAAATCAAAATTATCCATAGTAGGACTACTAGGGCTTTGTACCACCACTTCCATAGAAATAAAAATGAGTAATAAAACTTTTCTTGGACAGCTCGTAAATTTATCTATGATCTCTTGGGTAAGTTTGGTTTGTGAGTTTGGGTTAGTAGCAAAATGTTTGTGTGAGAGATGTGGGTATTTATATAAGATGTGTGGTGATGGTGAAGGGGAAGGTGAGGAGAAGGATCAAGTGGGGAAAAGGGTTGGGGATTGTTTTGTTGACCATTGGTTTGTTGTGTGCTACGTTAATTAAGCCGCCATTTAATACCGTTCCATATTGTTTATGCGAAAATTCTCATTTCGGTGCTAGCCTGTGAATGTGATAGAAATCGTGCGTAAAGAATTAATCAATAATAATGTTAACTAACCAATATTGTTGACTCTCATGGGTCATTTACATATATATATTGGTTTGGTAAGCATCCATGTAATGGAGTTTAACTTGTAGATGTAGCTAAACTCATCTGTATAGTGTGAAATTTACGTGGGGACAGTGGGGTTGAATAGGAGGGCTGGGATGGCATTATATTAATTCATGTCCACGTTTCAATAGGAATATTAGCAAAATATCATATCTACTATAGCTAGTATTTCATTATTTTTTCTTAATTCTATTTATTATTGAATTAAGTTTTGTATGGTCACACTAATTAAACTCTGTTAAATGATAAAAAATAATTAGAAAGAGCATCACATAATATGTTGTTAGCATATTTATAATTTGAATGAAATTTAATTAATTACAGTGATTTTTATATTCTTATAGACCATTAATAATATATATTTTATAATAAAAAATTAATAAATTAAAATTTAAGTAAACAATAAGAAATTTTAAAATAAACTTAAGTTCAACAGTCATGAGATTTTAGTAAACAATACAAAATAATTTTTTTAAAAAAAAAAAAAAGTGTTGGTGTCGATCCTTTATCTATTTTGCTTGCTTCGAGAAGATTTTGATGTAATTCGATTTGATGTGAAGGTATTTCTAATGTATTACTTATGTACACGTATGTGGTTGGCGTATAATATTATTGGTCATTATTTAATTTGTTTGAAAGGCAAGTTTGTGTCTAATTCGTGATTACCCTTAACTTGGTCAATTCGGAGCTGCTATTAATTGAATAAAAAAATTATAATGGATTGTTATCATCTTCGGTGACGGTAAGGAGTTGGGGGTCTTAGTATCTAGAAGTACTTGCCAGTTCAACATGAATTAAAATAAATAAATACAAAATCAAACCATATTTTATTTTTAAAAAATCGTCTTTTGTTTTTGGGAATTTGGACAGTGATGGATGAGGATTCATCGTAAATTCCTGGTTATAAATAATTTAAATTAAATATAAGGATATGGATGAGGTTTTTTTATATTAAGAATAAATGCATGAAATGGACTGAGATAAAAGAATTGCATGCAGAAAACAAAGTACGCTCAATATCATAATAAAACCCTGATAAAGACTTTACAAAAAACTTTCTATTTATTTTTCTTGGATCAATATACACTAAAATGTGGAAAATTATATATATGAGTTGTTTGTTGAGAAGATACTATTATAAAATAAGACTATGGTATATTATTTTTAAAGCATAAGTTATTGTTGAGTTGGCATGTTATGCTTTGACAGTATCCTTTTTCTCATTGTCTTTGGGATCAGAAACATGTGGTAAATGCCTCTATAGACTCGTTCAGCAAAGAGCTTCTAGAATTGAGGCATTACTTGCAGTGAGCCCAAAACAAAACATTATCTACGACCGAATAAAATAATAACACCAATGGAATCTATAGAGAGAAAATACTTCTTTGAAAACGATCTAGTTTGCATTGCATGTATTATTTTTAACACAACATATAATAACAAATACTTGTAATAAACTAATGACAACTAATATTGTTAACAACTAACTATATATGATGTTGGTACGTGGAATTGAGTTTATTTTGAAGGAAAGATTTATCTAAAGTAATGTTTCTCAACATATATATCAATCATCAATAATTACAAAACTCGTTGATATTTTGTATTAAAAAAAATCTCCACTCATCACATTGTGAAAGATTAATTTATTATGCTAAATTCAATTATGGTTGGTTGTAACAATAGTTTTTTATTTAACAAAGTTAAATAAAACACACCACGACTTTAATTAATATATTATTAAATAATTTAAAAATAAATTTACTTTTTTGTATATTATAAAAAGTGTTTAATGGTAATACACTATCAACTTAAAAAGTTTTACACAGTCAGTCAACTAGAAATCCTTATAACTTTTAAGATAATTATTGTAATGATCAATAAACTTATATCATTTATGATGAATTATGATTAGATAAACATGTAAAATTGTTGTATAGTATTTGTGCATTACCATTGAATCCTTATAAAATAGTCATTTAAAAATAATTTTTTTCATTATTGGCATGAAAAAACAAGGGAGAATTTCCAACTTAGAGTCTGTTGTGACTCAGCTTAACAAAAAAGATGATTGTCATATTACATGAAATATAAAAGTAAAGACGGTGGGTATCAACATTAGAAGATAAAGAGATTAATAGTTTAATATAATAATGATGGTATAAACAAATAACCACTAATTGTGCTGTGCAGTTGTGCTTGGTGGAATTGTTCAAGTCAAAGTCAACTGTTTGACTTACCTTAATTAATTTATTCATCCATAATAACAGGGGCGCATGTGAGCCCAAGTCACTTAATATGGTTCTTGATTGGCCCAAAATTTGAAGGTCCACGACTCCAAGGTTCTAGGATTATGTTTGGGACTACTATTGGTATCCCAGCAAATTACTATTTAAACCTCCCATGTTTCAAATTTTGTTTTTGATGAAAATATCTCTAACCTTATTATTATTTTTTTTATTTTTTTTTATTTACAAGCATTTATGAAAACAAAATTTTAGAACTAAAACATGTACAGAGCTACAATAATATAATTGGTTTGAGAAAAACTTATCACGTGGACCAAGAAAAAACAATTATTTTTATAAGTAACCAATGAAAAAGAAATATATAGTACCCTCATGTATTTTATTTAAATAAACTTAAAAAGAAGCAAAATGAGAGAGAAAAATAAAGTAATAATAAGAGATTAATTAGCTATAATAAAAAAAATCCAATCAAAATGTGTAAAGAAGGGAATCGATTTTTTTAATAATATAAATAAAGAAAATAAACTTTAAGTTAACTCTTTGTTTTGCTGAATAATTATCAACTTTTTTGTCTAAATTATATTTCTTATATAAAAAATTTATTTAATTTCAAAGAAAGTGGCGATGAACAGAAAAATCTTAACTACTAATACGTACTAAAAGAAGTTATATTTTAGTAAATTCATTTTTTAAAAAACTTTAAGATATTAGGCACATTTTATAAACTTTAAGAGCACGAGCGTGTCATTGAAAACATTTGAGAGCTTTAATTTGACCACTGTTATATTTATTGAATCACCTAACCACTTCAATTCAAGTCATGGAACTAGCCATACAACTGAGCCTTGTTCAAACAAACAAACGAAAACAAATTTAAGAAAAATCTATTTGTAAAACAAATTATACAATACTTTTTATAATTAAGAGAGAGAAAGAAAGAAATAATACATTCATTTAATATATATGCTTATTAAAAAAATATTTGTTTTCAAGAGTAGTATTAAGAAGATTAATAAAATATTTATAAAATATTTTTTATTCATGTGATTAATTAATGGAAGATAAACAAAAGCTCATAAAGAGAGCCGAAAACATATTGAATTAAAGCATGCATCCCATTTTATTTTGTTTGATGTTTAGTGGGGTTTCGAACACCAAAATTTTTCTCATGGAATTATGATTTCAGAGATCATAAATATTAAGAATTATGACTTTTAGAAATGGATAAAATGTGTTTTTTTATCAGAAATATTTTTAAAAATATTATATA